ATTGCTTACACGGTATAGAAAAGAAGGATTTGTGATTTTGTTTGAGGGGTTTCTTTTTTGGAACTAAGCAAAATTAAATAATGTTACTGATGATAATTTAATTAAGAGAATTAAAATATTTCAGCAGAGAAAATTACATGAAGAACATCTTTTAGTTTTCAAGTAAAATCCATAAGCTACACTGTTCATTCTCCAAAGGTGGATAGGAATTTTGTAAGAAATAAGCATATGAAAAGTCTCGATTTAAACAACATGTACAAAGGCCTAGCTTAAACAAAAATAACACAGCTCAGACTGAGGACCTGGGGTCCTGAAATCCCTTGTGGTAAAAAAAACCAAACCAAAAACTACACACAAAAGAACACTAAACAAAAAAAAAATACAACAAATATCTATATTGAACCCAAATATCAAATATTATTTACATGTAAAAAGAAAGACTACTTATAATCTCCCGGACTCAACAAGACCAACAAGAAATAAAATCACGCACTTCCTACCAACAACTACATCGGAAATGCCATTTTGGCATCTATGGCTACAAACTTAACAAATGATACGCCATTAATAAAGTCATCTTACCTGCACATGACTTCATGGGTAAGCAAAACTCTACACATTTCGGGATTCTTGTTCTGTCCTTCGTAAGTTATGGGCTACAAAAATTAAGAAAAGGGGTAAGCCAGGAGCAGAGGCTTACTTATTTGTTGCAATATTCAAATCTGAGGAGAAGGCTTTTTGCCATCGCCCACCATCATTTGCAAATAAATACCTTGCCTCAAAGCCTTTATGAGCAGGGAAAGCAGTTTATACATAAATATTGATAAAAAGTGGATAAAAGCCTACATCCATAAAGGGTGGGGAAACCACAAGAAAAAAAAAAACTTAAGCATATTACTTTTCAACTGTCGTCAAAAATAAGGTCTCGAAAATAGAGATGAATAAGAGACAAAAATGAACCAGAGAAGAAAAAACACGCAGGAAAACGTTAAGAAAAAAGGAAGGATGAGGCAGGACAGGGTAGCACAGCACATATTAGCTACATTCACCTGCTTAGTGACCGAATCGATGAGTCTAACATACAGATCCTGTTCAGTCCTGACACCTAGAGCGAGAGAGAAGAGTAATACGTAATGTTGTTACATGCATCTTCCCCTGAACATCAGAATAAAACCATAAAAATTCCATCTAGCGCCTTATTAAACATCCTCAGAAAGACCATTTAGTTTTGTTTCCTGTAGTGTGTTTGCCAAGCCCATCCACGCCAGGTAAACTTCAGAGCCCATCCCTGCACTGAAGGGGCACCCATGCAAGGGAATGCTGGTGTATTTTAGAAATCAGTGACAGCACCTACAAACCTTGCCTCCCTCTACAGCCCACAGGAGGGGACTGGAAGGGAGACTCACCGTTGCTGTAAAGGAGTTGGAGTTTGTAATGCGTGCCGTTGTTCGTCTTTTCATTGCCTTGCTCCTGAAAGAGAATTAAAAATTTTTAAAAATAAATTAAAAAAAAACTCTTACAGAACTTACACTTGGCACATTTAAAATGCAAAAGCTGATAATCATGATGGAAGTGACAGCAAAGTTCATTAAAATTCTGAGAGGTGAATCCACTGATTGTGATATATTAACCTTCCAAATGACCCAGGACAAACTACAAAATACTGCTGACATCTTTTCCTGGAGGAGTTCAAGAACTTCTTTTCCTCTCTTATTTGCTATTATGCTCTCAACCTTTTCAAGGCAAAACACAGACAATTTTGTACATTTTCAAGTCAGTTATTACAAAGCAGACTGACAGTGGGAAGGCTCAGTGAGTTTGTGTTTAAAGTGTTCATTACGTTGTCATTGATATTTATTTTCTGAAGGTTGCGTTACAGAGGGGTTTTTTTACTGCAATTTACTAGAAAATAATTAATTATGAGCATCCTTCATAATAAAAAAAAATTTGTCCTTGACTAAGAAAATAATTGTAAAATCAATGTGGTCAACACATGGATTTAAAATCCAAAACCAAATGCTTTTCAAGTCCTGCCATTGACATCTAATCAAGCTCAACAGATAATATGACATATTCCAGGTCAGATTCCACTTCTGTTAGAGCACTAATAAAGCCTGGCAGATCTTGTAGGTAACAAAAAAAAAAAAAACAACACCCAAAAATCAAACCCACACAGTTGTCCCCCTTGAAATGTTCTTATTCTATTTTTAGTGGATGTATGAAATTTCCATTGTACTCCCGACACAGCAGAGGCTTACAAGCCTTTTTAACTACAACAGCACACAGAGGGCAACAGCTCTACTAACGCACCTGAACCCTTGACCAAGAGCTGGTTGTATTTTGTTAGGGGCAACAGGTATTAAAAGTTAGCAGCGCAACAGTGGGGGAAAAATAGATCAAATCTGGAGAGGCAAAGAAGGAGGAGGAAGATAACAAGCCTTACTTTATCATTTTCTACAAAGTCCACAAAAGCTGTCCTCTCTATTTCCACGGGCTGCCCCTGTCTGTCGTAGAGAGCCAGAACAAAGTGAAAGAAATTGGATTTCCTCAAGTTGGAGGGTGGCTGCTTTTCAAAATGAGCTCTGGACAAAGCTACTCCGCTGTGGAGGAAACATACGGGATGGGGTGGGGAGAGACAAAGACATTACCAGGTTGTGCAGTAGTAACAGTAAAACAACAGAAAAAGCAGAACACATTCAGAGAAAAGCCCGGAAACGTCCACCTCCGTGCGAGC